ACACACACACACACACACACACACACACACACACACACACACATACACGCACACACTCACTCACTCACTCACTCACTCACTCACAATCAATCAATCAATCAAAACCCTTTTTTTAAGTTTTTTGTTTATTTATTTTTAAATTTTGCATCTTTATTTTTTTAAAACACCTCATTTCCCTTCAAAAAATGTCAAAAAAATCGAGCTTTTCTTTATATATATATATTTTTAATTATGTTTAAATCGATGTTTGTTTTTGATTTTTTTAAAATCCTAAACAACGTCGGATTCCAAAACAAAAAAATGTAGGGGTGTAGGGTTTTCGGAGCCCTACACCCCCATTTGTTTCCTGTTTTTTTTTTGCGTATGTTTAGGGGTAAAAAAAAATATTTAAAAAAACAGGCCGGGGATCGGGCCTCGTTGGCCGCGGCCGCGGCCGCGGCAGGGATTTTCGGCCACAGCAGCCGAAATGCCCGCGGCCGCGGCCGCGGGTGTCACATAGTCAAGCAGCTCCTAGGAACAACTGGCTCACTCCGAGCCTCGTGCATGCTTCCTCCCGGGTGCCTTCGCTGTAATTCCCTGGGGCTCGCTTGCGATCACTGTACCGAGCTCGTTGGACTCTTGCTCCTCCACTCCACGTGCGTTTATCTGAATTCCTCTACTCTTTCGTCGCTCGCGCGACCGCACATGCCCGATCTCCCTCCTGCCTCTTTAGTGGCAGGTCTTGCCCGGTTACACACCTTTCCCGTTGTGATCCGTCCCCCAACACGTACACCGCTCGTACCTTTCAAGTAACTTCGCCCTCTCCTTCAACCGCCTCCTATGCGGTTAACTCTTGCTCACGCTCCTCTCACTTTCGTACCCGCCTAGAGTGCGCCCGAATTCTCGCGCATATACTCAGCCATGCACCGCAGGTCAACCACCTCCCTCTCTTCGCACAGTTCTCCCATCGCCCGTTCTCTGGTTGTACCTGACGCGCACTGCCCGCCACATTCATAACGCGCCTGGTTATCTCCTTTCTCACGTGCGGAGACTGCGCGTGCGTCATTCGTCACTTCAACGGAGAGGTGTACGCTCCTCACGCTGAGTCCTCCCCGCTCCCGTAACAACCTGCGTCTCCGTGCAAGAGCGCTGGGCACGACTTGCACAGCTCCCGATGCAACAACCTCTGAAGATGTGGGCGGGGTACACCGTGCACGCACCTTCTCCCTGTTTGACCTCCCATCCTCCGAATGCCCTCTAGCTTTCCCCGGTCCCTTCCATATGCCGTCTGAGATGTGGCCCTCTCGAAACCCTGGCTCTCAACAGTACCAATGGTCCCAGCTCTTGACAGGTAGCTGACCAGTCCCAAGGCACATCGCTGGGACGATCCGGAACAGCAGTCTGAGGCCTAACGCCCTACATAGGACCACAATCAGAAACTAATAGTGCCGGTCGCGGCTCACTGCCCCGCTGTGGAAATCAAGATAAAGGGATCGAAGTAAGCGCGAAAGAGTCACACCGAAAATAAGAGGAAGGATTTGCAGTGCCGTTGCGGGGTTGCGACGACGCTAATCCAGTGAATTGCACCTTACCAAGCTAAAGTAACGCTGCCACCGTGGCATCGCCATGCAAAGCCAATGACCTCATGCCAAATACTAAACCTTCCACGCCGTACCAAGGATACTGTGGCCGAAATATACCGATACTCTGCCAATTCTGATCCATCACCGAACCTGAAACAAGCAGATGTCGAGGTAATACCGGACCAGAATACTATCGTTGTAATGATGCGGAGTCTGAAATAATTTGTGGGAATGGTCCAGAACTCGAAAACGAACCTGAATAGATCACCGGTCCCGAGCCTGAAATAGACTGCCGTAGTGGTCCCAGACCTGAGAACAAATCGCTGCAGCAGTCCCAAATTAGAAAATAAGCCATCGTCATAGCCCCGAAGCTGAAATAAGGTGTCACAGTAGTGCCAAGCCTGAAATAAACCGAAGTGACGGCTTATAAATTGAAGAACACCGCGCAGGCGCCGTACCTGCGATGGACCACCGTCAAAGTTCCGACCCTGAGGTAAATCACCGTGGTGGTCCCGAACCTGATAGTAAGTCGCTGTCGTGGCCCCAGGCCTGAAATAAACTGGCGCTGAACCCATGCCGAGCCTGAGTTACCACGCCGTAAAGCCATACTGAACCTGAGGTGACCCGACGCGGCGATACCGAAGCTTAAATAAACCGCCACAGGGGTTCCGGCCCTGTAATTAAATCATGGCAGTGATACCGAACCTGAAGATAAGTGACTATAGTGGTCGCAAGTCTGAATCATAGTGTCGCTAGGCTCACACTCACACTAAACTAGAAACGTCGGGCACCGCAAGACGAAGCCATGCCCTAACAATACCAATCTCGTCTGTACCATGTACCCGTACCAAGCCAAGCACCACACATTCCGTCGGTCCGAAGTAGCACCGTCCTACGCCGTCCATGCGACCACCCTCGAACTGAGTCGGTGAGGTTAGTAATTTGATAAATCGGGTAAGCGCCACAAAAAATCTCGATCGCCAAGAAATAGTGAAGAAGGTTTGAATCCGGAAAAAAATAATTGATCAGGGGTTAGGGGCCGACTGCGGGCGATCCAGGCAAAAACAGGCCCGGCATCGATTGCATCGAATAATCATTTGTTCCCGTTCATTTTATCGTCTTTAATCATTCTCTCCCTTTCTTAATTCCATCGTCTGAATTAGTGAAATAATCGCAAGTTCACCAAAAATGAATTCCCAGAGGTTTTTAATTGAATAATTGAAATTCTAGTGTTTCTCTCTCCCTTCATTATTTTTACTCTTTTCCCTTCGTTTTCAATTTCATTGTTGGAAACGTAAAATAATAAGGTATCCTCCAAAATTTAGTTGCCGCAAAAAATAAATGAAATTAAAGAATATTTTGTTTTTCTTCTCCCTTCCTGCTTTTCTTAGTATTTTCTCCCATTTATAATTTTAGTACTAAAATCGACAAAAACTCGGGGCGGCATTCCAACCCCGGGCATATGCTGGGAAAGCGCTGCGGCGGGGGTCAGTTCCCGCGATGCCTCTCCGCGGCCGGCTTTTCCAGGTCTAGCCTCGGAACGGCTGAAATGACGGTCCCTAGATATGCCGGGAGCGGCTACCCATTTCGCCATTTTTTAGGGTTACTCCTGTCAGACGTCATGGGGAAAACTAGGGGTCCCTTCTCTGCGCCTAATGTTTCCTGGCGCGTCAGGCGAAAGTCCTGGTCTATTCTCGTCTTACCATTTAATCTAGAGGTGAATATGCCGAGTTCAAGGTGACCGACCGGGGTTCGGTCGCCCGACAAACAAGCCCGGACCTCTTCTCGACGCCCCCGTCGAGCCCGCAGTCTCCATCAGACGAAACGAACAAGATCTAAAATAATTACACTCGCGCGTGGCCCATGCCGACATCTCTCTGTTTTGTATTTCGGTCTCTCTGAAATCCTGGGACTAAGAGGATGTCTTTCTTCCTTCTTACGCCGCGGCCGCTTGGCCTTAGGGACAACCGTTTTCCTCGGTTTCTTCCCTCGTCGGAGAAGCAACCCCGTAGGGGCTCCCCCTCGTCTCACACGGACTCGGAGTTTGGGCCTCCGTAACACGAACAACCATTTCTTCTTCTTTCCCAATGTTAAGCCCTTGACTTTTTTCGTTTCCACTCTCTTTCTTTTCTTCGAACTCTCACCTACCTCGTGCCGCTTAGACACTCTATCTTCCATCACCTTTGCTTTGCCCTTCCCTTTCGGATCGGATAGTCTCAGAGTAGGTGCAAAGGTTTCCCTTGCCCTGAACAACTTCAATCTAGCCCCCGACACGGGGTCCTTCCATCTGGATCCATCTAGCTCAGCAATCATGTAAGCTCCCCAGGTTAATGCCTTGACTACTCGGTAGGGACCCATCCATCTGTTAGCTAGTTTCCCTGTCGAAGTCCTCTCTAACGCCGCGTCATACAGAAGCACCAGATCACCGACTTTTATCTTTTTTTTCTTTATCTTGACGTCTTTGTCCCATTTCTCTTTGCCTTTCTCTCGCTGAATCGCCAACCGATTGGCGGTAGTAGTGAGCTCACCCTCCAATCCGTATGCTATCTGTCCAGTCCTGGCCGCTAGGAGGCCCTCTTGTGTTATATTATCAGTCCAATCAGCCGTAGTCCAATTGTCTACGTAGAACTCTATAGGTAGGGGGCAGTGCCTCCCAAACCATAGAATATATGGTGGGTATCCCGTACTCGCTCGCACCGTGACATTGTCTGCCCATATCGCATATCGAAAATATTTCGGCCAGTGGCTCTCTTTCCCTCTACACCACTTAGCAAGTGATGCTATCAGCGACTCATGTCCTCGCTCTACTGGCGCATTGGACTGAGGATGATAGGCAGTAGCTATCGAGACTCTAGCTCCCGCTTTCTTGAATACGCTCTGTACCTCATCCGCCAAGAACTTTACTACTCACGATCTTACTAATACACCCGTACCTTGATAGGTATTCTAGAACAAAGTTCTTAACTTCCTTGGCTGCCTTCGTTCTCATGGGTTTCCCGTCGACAAATCCAGTAAAATCGTCTCTGATGTTACTACATAATTCATATTCCCGACGCCTCTTGGCATCTTCACTAGATCAATGTGCACTTTTTCGCCCGGTCTGGTTGGATAGGACGGATGAAGCGGTTCCTTATATCTGACAAGGGACCTCTTCTGACAGCCCTCACAGGTCACGCAGTATTTCTCGACATTCGTATACTGTCCTTCCCACCAATATAATCTACGGACTTTCTCGTACGTTCCTTTCACTCCTCTATGTCCACCGACTACCCCGTCGTGAAGCTCCGCTATTATCTCCTGCCTCTCCTCTGGATCGCGAACTACTCTGAGAGGCATCCCTGATCCAATGGGTCTGCGAAACAAATGTCCGGCCCTCAAGCAGTACTGAGCTTCCTGTCTCCGAATTTCTGAATCTGAACTCTCCTCACCAGACTGGTGCAACCCGATCGCACAGTGTTTCCCCGCATAAAGATTCACTAAGAACTGATCGGTGCGTCTGGGTTCAGTTATTGTTAATGCTGTCACCACTATCGGCCGCTCGACCTCAATCGGGATGCGTGAAAGTCCGTCAGCCACAGCGTTCTTTGCACCCGAGATTCTCTCGACAGTATAGTCGTAGAGTCGTATCCTGATCAGCCATCTGGCGATCGTAGGATCGGTCAAGGTGAAGTCCTTCTGTAAGACTGATGCTACCGCAGTAGGATCTACCCGTAGGATGAATCGTCGTCCATAAATGTAATGCCTAAACGTGTCCAGGCATCGTAAGACTGCCAATACCTCCTTCTTTAACTGGTTGTAGTTGTGTTCTGCTGTGTTGAGCGTTCGACTTTCAAATCTCAACGGTCTTTCCTTCCCATCAGCGTCCTTCTGCGAGAGTAGTCCTCCGACTGAGCATGACCCAGCATCCGTAGACACTATGAATGGCCTATTGGTCTCGTCGTCGAAGAATGGCACCCCCAAGATTCGGCCGTCTTCCTTGAATTCTTCTTTAAGTGTCAAAACGGCAAGCTCCTGAGAGGAATTCCAGTAAAATTTATCTGTCTTCCTAAGGAGAGTCTGCAATGGTTCGGCTTTCTCCGCGTATGCTCGTATRAAAACCCGCCAGTACCCCATGACACCCAGGAACTGACGAACTTCCGTCACACTGTGTAACGGTGTTGGCCAGTTCAAAAACTTGTCTAGCTTAGCTGGATTGGCGCATCGTCCTTTCGAATCACAGATAAAGCCCAATATCTTGATCGACGATACCGCCCACCTGCTCTTTGTTCCACCAACCGTTAGGTTTGCCTCATCTAGCTGCTCAAGTATAGCACAAATGTCTGTCAAGTGCTGCTCTACGAATCTCCTGACCCCAGGCGCAACCTCGGTCTCATCTCTAAGTACTGGTCCCTTAATCGGGAAGTTGTCTAGAAAGACTTCAACTTTATCCGGTATAAAGTCTTTCAGGACAACCAGCATGGCTCTCTGGAACACTGCGACTCCGTTGGTCCACCCCATAGGCACCACCATCATTCGGACTAGTCCGACTGGCGTGTGCATTGTCTTGAGATGCCTATCCCTGGGGTCCAATGGTATCTCGTCATAACTTGAAAATGGGTCACAGACCAAATAAATCGATCTACCAGCGGCGACTTCTGCTAGTAGATCTGCGTGAGGTATAGATCCGACATCTCTAATGGTAACCGCATTCACTTTCTGAAGATCCTGAATCCACTGAATCTTCCCATTCGGTTTTTGTATGAAAAACCATCTGTTCGCGTATGCACTGTCGGATGGCTCAGCTACATGAGACGCCATCTTCTCTTTCAGGAAGGCTATCACTTCCTCCTCTTTCCGTGCAAATTTCCATCCGACATCATTCCATGGGGTATGTAGGACCGTGTAGATCCTGGCAGGTTGCGCGAACCTAGGATCAATCCTGACCCTCTCAGCGTCACTAAAGGCTATAGCCGTGTCGCACGTCTTAAGAACCTCCACGACTCGCTCTTTCTCCTGCTCTGTCAAGTTCCCGTCTCCTATGTCCATCTGTGCTATCCTCTCTTCTGTCAACCGCTGCAGCTCCTTCTTCTTTTTTTCCTTGATCTCTCTAGCGATCTCTCATGCGCAGATCGCTCCCGAGCTACCGCTGCAGGCTTGACTTTCTGAGCTACTGTCCTGTGTCTCTTAGGTCGCCCCCCGTAGGGGGCTGGTCCCTTAAAAAAAACACGGAGATCATCCCTCCGAATTCCTCATCTTCGTCCTTTGGATAGGAGTTCCCATTCACGAGGATACGGCTGCCCAGGTCCTCGATCTCGACGACGCGCCCTTCTTCTTCGGTCAGTAGCAGTCCGTATTTCTTCTCACGGAACTTGAAGGAACGACTACCGAGGGCAATCCTGTCAGGCTCTCCTTTGGCGGCTAAAGCTGCTCTGTTCCTTGGATCGCGAGGCTCGACCATCTCTATCATAATCCGACCACTGTCTGGTCGTTTAATCGATGGCATCTGGCTCTCGTCTGGTCGCTCTATCGTGACAGCATGAACGTGACTCAGCCAGGTGCGTCCTGAGAGTAGCTCCGAACTGCAGCCCTTGACAGCAAACACTGGCATCTGAACGCGCAATCCGTCGACCTCTATCGCCGCCTTGTGACAAACACCGGTGACTTTCTGCTTCTTTCCCGCTGCAGTCTCGATATCGAAATGGTAGGATCTGTCTAAGTCGAGCCCTAGCCGTACAGCGAGGCCCTTGTCTATAATAACAACCTCACTTCCATTGTCGATCACCCCTTCAAGGGTCTCCTCATCGTTAAGAATGACATCGACCGTCCCGCTCCCTAGGATATAAAACTTGTCGGGAGGTACCCCTTCCTTACCATCAAGGAACATCGTCGCCGCACGGTCTGCCTTGGCGGTCACACTCGAAACTGCCACAGTTGGGGCCTCCGGTTTCGGTGCCACCTGTGCCTCATCCCCGAGGGGAATGTGTGTCTTCCTCGTGATCATTTGTAGCTCATCTCGCGCAGGTCAGGAAGCCGCCAAGTACTCGAGTATCGAGCACTGCATGGGTTGTCTAAGTGTGCGTCTGAGACGCTCCACTGTATCAATATCATCCAATGAGCTCTTCATTGTGAACTTGCGAGCTCCGCGCTTCCGTGGTGACAGTATTACTTCCTGTCCATCGATCCTCTGTCCATCCTTTTTTGCCATCACATAATCGGTATCCGTCTTCTTTGATGATGATGGTCTGGCAGATTTCGTCGCCGCAACTCGGATAGGCGTCGTAGGCACGTCCTCGTCCGACGACATCAGTATCCTGATGCTCCGACTCCTCGCTACTTCCTTCCCTTTGCTGGGGCGTACTCGTCTGGCGTCGACGTTTTCCTTCATCGAGGGAAACATTGAGACATCTCCTAGGTCATCCGCCCACTTGACGTACTTTCGGTTGTCAAGCACTACGATCTCCTCGTCTATTGCCCGCTTGAGATCGGGGCAGTCCCTTTTGACATGGTCATCCGCCTTGCAGTAAACGCAAGTACTCCTCGGGGTAGGTGGCCTGTCCTCTTCGACTCTAGGCGGCGGTCCTCCCGGTGCTCTGGCATGTGGGTTGGATGATCCTGGAGACCTGGGATACCCTGACAACGTAGGATATCCTCCTCAGTCATATCGCCCACGGGAATCATCTCGCCGATCTCCTCGAGAATCATGGAGCCTGTCTCCTCTGGAGTCGGCACGTCTGTCTCCTGCTCTGTCCGCCCTATCATATCCTTCACGATATCCGTCTCTGCGATCCCGATCAGGTTCCCAATGTCCGCGAGAATCTCCTCCATCTCCTCCATCCCTGTGCGTAAAGTTCCCAGGGCTCTGGAAACCATCAGGATTCCGGTCGTACCTAGGGCCCCGTGGGTACTGCTCGAATTGTCCACCCCTGTAATACCCATCGTCCTGGCGATATCGGTCGGTGCGACGATCTCGATCAATCTCATCATCTCTCCTCCTCCAAGAATCATCCTCGGCCCTCTCACGAGCTCGATAGTCGGCGAGCGTGCAGGGGTTCCTTTCCCCTACACTCCTCCATGGATCGAAATTCCTCCGATCCCATCGTAATGAATACGGGGATCCAGGCTTGTCGCGATAGCCAGGTGCCCTAGTGTCCGCACCCGTCATCTCTCTGGCTATCCCTCTCATTATTTACCTCATCTCTGCCATCATTGACTCTAAATCTCGTGAACGGCTCGGTCTATCCTCATCGAACTGGAACCGACGATCCGCCCATGGTTGATCATGAAAGTCTGGGCATCGATCAGTCTCATAATCCCTAAAGAGGGGGACATCCCTCTGTTTTAACCCCTTCCAGACCAGATCCTTGTAGTCATCAGCCTCGGCCTTCATTGCCAGCTTGAGTACGGCCGTGAACTCTAGTTCGTCATGGGGAAGTTCTCGGAGTATCACCTTCTGCTTTCCTTTTGGTAGTCGCGCAATGAAAATCGTACATCGCTCCACCTAAGAAAGCTTCCCTCTCTTGATTAGAGCGTCCGACACCTTCTGGAATCGCCTCCCGAAGGCTCGAACACTCTCGTCCTCTTCTATAGTCATCGATTCCAGGTCTTTGATTGAGTATCAACTATCCTCTAGTTTGTAGAGCTCATACAAATTTCTCTTGTACGTGGCCCACTTCCTGTCGGCCGGACGCGCCTCCTTGATCTCCTGGCTCAGGCTCGGATCGGAGTTGAATAATAGGTTATCAATAATCTCATCCTCCGTCCATTGATTACGACACGCATGGAGCTCCCACTTCTCAAGGTATTCAGTATTCCCGCGTCCCTTAAAGACAGGAGGTCTGGTGTCCAATGTGGTCGAGGGCTGAGTTATGATGTAGCGATCACCCTTCCCATACAGAAGGGCGTGGGACTCACCTGTCTGTGGGTCAAAGACCCGTCGCGGTGACGTACCCCTCTCATGAGGCCTGTCTCTATCTCTCCACGCTGGCTCGCGACCTTGTGGCTCACGCCACTCATCTCGGCGTCTATCTCCTTTGTCGCTACGATCGTACGTAGGTGAACGGCGAGAATCTCGAGAATCTCTCCAATAACTCGGAGGTTCCGTCCTGACCTCGATCCAAGCTGCAGTCTGCGCCCTCTCTCTCTCCAAGGACCTCTCTAGAGGCCTCTCTGATGGTCTCCCCAGAGGCCTCTCTGATGGTCTCTCCAGAGGTCTCTCCAGCTCTGCGAGAATCGGCCCGCCCATCACTTCGGGCTCGCCGTCGTCAGGTTGTGCACACCTGAGTGGCCTAATACGCTCCTTGAGCTCGCGTAGGGCTTTGTCTGGCGATGTCCGATAGGTACTCGTCTGGGGCTCCATGTTCGGGTGTGTCCCCATCGCGTTAGATTCCATACGTCGGCCCGACTCTCGTCGCCTACTACGGCAGCTCGGACCTATGGAATAACCCGCAGCCCGGACCTATGAAATAATCCGCAGCCCGGACCTATGAAATAATCTGCAGCCCGGACCTATGCGATCATCCGGTCGCAAAGCTCGTCAGTGCTTAATCACTAGTCCACGACAACTTTCAGAATCGCTATGAGTCTCCCGGTCTCGTCCCGTATCTCATGCTCACCCTCTATACCAAGAATCCCAGAATCAAAATAGAGTTTTCCCCCTCACTCCTCTATGCAGCGAATACCTCTCCTGATCTCTAGCACTCCCATCTCCGGTGCCCGCACTCTCTTGCAAATGGCAGTCGTGATCGTCCTCAAATCCTCTGGGGTACAAGATCATAACCTCTCTCGTATGTCGATAGATGCTCGTCTCTCTAGATCACTCAACCCTCGATGTACGACGCAGGCTCCTGCCTGCGGATAATCGCCCCCTACTGCCATCAAACTTGCGACATCGAAGGGCTAGGTCGATCACGATCCCTTTGTTCCTCTCTTCTACGACTTGATGAGGTACTGGAGGTCTAGGGAAGTCCTGAAAGAGTGTTATCAGAGTGTCCCAGATAACCTCCTTACCCAGAGCTAGGAACCTATCCCGCTCACTTTCCACCAGTTCTTCTACGCGCTCTCAGCATCTACCGTAGATCCGGTCGCTCCCTCTCTCTACTGGGAGATAAATCCTAACGTCGTACACGTCAATAGAAAGGAACCGGACAGTGATACATAGAGGCGTATCTGCTCCCAACCATTGTCGACTAACTCGTATGTCACCACCTCGTACTCCTCGTGCGATGGTCTATTGCCCGCAAGGAACCTCTCTCTCCTTGCCTCCAACTCCGTCTGAGAGATGGTCGTGCCTTCACTCATCCCTCGATCCTACTCTGAGCACTCCATAACCACTAGGGCTAGAGCCATCCGAATCCTCTCTGCAGACTCCTCCAAATGCTGATAAAACGTCTCAAAGTCGTCCAGATCCCCGAAGTCCTCTATGTCCTGCAAGGTCTCACTCATCTCCTTTCGATAATTGTTGTGTGCTGTTAGTATCCTGAGGGTCGACCCATCTACGATTACCTTGCTCAACTCGCCAGGCACTCTAGCATGCCTCTCTAACAGTCTCTCAGTCTCTGTCGGCGTCTCGTGCCATGACCTGACTCGCGACCCTCCGTCGTACGCAGATAGACATAGCACGTATCTGATCAGCCGACCACACTCGATCGCTACCCAACGTCCGATTTCACGCGCACTCCTCAGGGCTACCCGAGTACACTCCGCCTCATCGATGATGCTAAGTCTCGATAGGTGGTCTATCAAGATCATCACACGCACGACCGGCCCATGTATCTGTCCCACGACGCATAGTGCATACTCATCGTTGGAACTCCGAGTCGTCGCACTCATCTCCCTGGCATTGTTCCGGTGCCCTCTTCGCACTTCCTTCCTCGTCAGAACTTCCTTGTCCGATGTTCCCTCGATCGGTCGCCTTCGTTGACGACTTTGCGCCGTCGCGACTACGATCCTTACGATCCCTCGTCTTCAGACTCTCTAGAAAGTCTAAACGCCACCTCCTGAAGAACTCCCTGTCCTCTCTGAATAACCTCTCTATCCCTCTGGTTCCCGCTTCTATCCTCCTCAACTTGCCTTCGTCTCCGCACTTCTCACACTCGCGTGTCTTGTCCCTAGTTGTCGTGAGTTGTTTGGACAGTGGTTTTACCACGCGTTCTCCCACTCTTTTCACTCTCTCATCCTCATTCTCCATCCCCCGCTATTCATCGCTCACGCGCCCCTTACCACTCTCCCTATACTCTAGCTCGTGCCTCGGCCACCGTCTCGTCGAAATACCACTCGATCCGCAAGTAGCCTGCTGACCATACCATTACCTCATAAGTCACCTTCGTCTGAAAGGTGACGCAAGCAAGGACTTCCGGTCGGTACTCGTCGACCAATTCTCTAGCTCGCCTCATGCACTCGGCCTCCGTCAGAGTTTCGTTTATCCGCGCTCTAAGTAGTACTATGACAGTGAATCCCTCACTCACTAGCTGTCTGCTCACCTCGACTCCAGCCGATGATCACCCTGACATTCCTCCGTCTCTATGAATAAATGCCTCAAGTCCTCTATCCCAACGTACTTCTCCTCCACACGCCTCCTCAACCCAGCACGTCGCGTCTATGGGACCTCTCAACTCCTCGTCGTCAAAGCGCCTCCACCATAGACTGGCGGCAAAGTAGATCTCCTTGAACCTCGGTGCCAACCCCAGTCCAAGGGCAAGGTGCATATGTCTGACTGCTCGTGTTAGACTCCTAATCCCCCCGTATACCTGGTCTATCACGAACAGCGGAAGCGCCCACCTCCAACCCTATACAGGATGAAGATCCTGCGCTGGCGAACCGAACACGATACGCACCCTTGGTTGACTATCTTCACCTAACGATCCCGCCTTCCTATCTAATACTGCTCTGGCCAACGCCTCGTATCTCCATAGACTTCTTTCGACGACGAGCAGTGTCAGTCCTATTTCGACCTCCTGCGTTCGATCAAAGATAAGATGTCCTATCAGTTCCACCTGCCTTCAACGTCCCAGTTCCTTTACTTCTACGACTACCGTCCAGAGAAACACTCCTTCAGCTATCCACGTCCCGACGTACCCGAGCGGCACCCTATGACTATCCTCCAATCGTGCAGGAAGAGGGATGTCAAACCCGAGCGCGGTCTCCCTAGGCTCTGTCAGTCTCCTCGCCCTGTAGGAGCCTGAGTCTCACAATAGGACATACGCCCACCATGCACTCGAATCACTCCTCATTACCCCACGCCACTCAATCTGTTCCACTCTACTCCCTTCGACGCACTCGATCCCATGATGCTACAAACTCCTCTGACAACTCTACCACTCAGGCTCAGTATAGTCGAGTAGGTGTTGTGCACTCTTCCGTCAGCTCCATGGAAGTAGATGGTATACTCGACGTATCTCTGGCCTCTCCGTATCTCCAGAGCATGCTCGGTCATGAGTCTGATTCGTCTCGCAACCTCGTCCATCGCCTCTTCTTCCCAGCCCCATATCCTATCTCGTTGCAAGGAAAGGGTCACTCTCAGTGTGTCTCTGTCCGCCATCTCTATCAGCGCTTACAGCAATCCCTGTCTCGTCTAAAGTTATCTCCTTGTGTCTATTAATCGACACCCCACTACTCCGCTCTCTACACTATGCCCGGATATGCCCTATCCTTAATCGTCTCCCACATTTGGCATATCCTCGTCCACGTCCTCGTCTCCGTCTCATCCTCAGCCCAGCCCCAGGGGATATGCTCTTGTCCCTCGGCCTGAGCTAGATGCCCCCAACCGTCGCCGTCTGGTCCGTCTAAATCGGCGCTTAAGTCGTCTTGCCCTGCGTCAGGCACGTCTCTCCACGGTCTCTCATCCTCTCCCCAAGGCTCTACATCGCTAAGGTGTTCCCAATCTCGATCATCGACGTCTCACCCGAGCTCCTCTCTATCTGGATATATCCTCTGGTAATGCTCCTCCAACTCCTTGATAGAGATGAGGGGAGCAGGCCTGTCGCCGGGAATCTCGCTAAAGAGTCGTCCGACTCCCTCCAGACTATCTACCGGCCTCTGAACCTCTCTGTCTAAGGCTAGCCAGAGGGCTGATGCGGGTAGAAGGAATCCCAATCTCCTGTGGGTGCTAGAGCTCGTATAAACTCTATGAGCTGAGACCCTCTCTCTCCTGTGAGCGGTCCTCCGATAAATTGAGCATATGCGATCCAATCACGGTCTGCTAGTCCTCTCCTGAATCCGTCTAACTCAAGACTAGCAGAATACGTATTAGCGATGTGAGTGAGACCCCAGAGTTCCTCTACCACAAATACGGGGAATCTCACTGGCACTCGTACTGTGGGGAGAGGAAAAGCTCCCCCGATCCGGAGGGTCATCCTCGACTCGCCAATCGGACCATGCAATCCCTCTCTATCAGCACGGAGGCTATCTACCATCCTAGATAGGATTACCCTAGCCTCCTGCTCACAGCGCCAAAAACCATGCACCAAACCCTCAAAATAGGTCGTGGCACTCACCGTGCACGAGTAATAAATATGCCCTACGACCTCAATGCTCGTCGTCCCTGGTGCCCGCCGGTGCTGAGGATCCTGTTGATATGTCTCTACCGCATACGCCCACAGGTGCACGTCCAGCCCCAACCGTATCGATCTCCAAGCGGAATGGAGCCTGGGCTCAGCCACGCTCCTCGCCGGTAGATCAAACTCTAACACGTCGGGCTCCACTGTCTCAGGGGGTATGGGCCATATGGCACTGCCGATCGCGAGCTCTACTCTACCCGCCTGCTCTACCATCGAATCGCCTATAGCTACTGGCCGACGCTAATCACTGCACCCTCTCAGTCACCACTCTCGTCTCGTCCGTGTGCCGCCTCCTAAGTCCGGACGGCGACCCCTATCCTAGGGAAGTGGGCGTCAGTATCGTCGAGCTCCTCCTCCGAGTCAGAGTCATCCCAATCAGACTCCCACGCGTCCTCGTCATCCTCACGCTCCCACCACTCGTCGTCGAACTCGTCCTCGACGCGATATGGGGCCTGTCCTATAGCCTGATAGTATCGTGCCAGCTGATGGCTGTATATCAGAGGTCGTCCTACGTCCTCACTCCACCAGCCGCCCCAGTCGTCCGAGAAAAGACTCCCTATGCAAGTCACGTACTCGGGGCCAGCTCGGAGCTCTCGATCCAACCAGTCCCAAACGCACAGCGGCTGAGGCCACTCGTCACCGATAGAGCGGATCAGCTCTATAAGCTGAACCCTCTCGTCTCCCCCGCGAAGGCCTCCTGTCGCTAGAGAATAGTACAGGTAGTCCAGGTCGTGGTACCCTCTGCCAAAGACCTCAAGCTCCCGGAAAGCGAGGTATGCCATGACTACTCCTCCTATCCCTCCGAAAATGGAGTCCACGACGAATGCTGGAACTATCGCTCTCAGACACGAGGAGCCGTACGAAAAGTATCGATCACGAGCTATCACGAGCTCACCTGCGATATCAAGAGGAGGTCGCCTGTGAAACAACGTCAACGGGTTTTGTGCGTCGTCCGCTCGAAAGGCGGGTACCTCGTCTCGAAGACACCGCAAGGCTCTGCTGATAGCATAGCTAGTGCCCGAAGTCACGAGACTCAGGGCAGTGTCCTTAGCCGCGTCCAGCCCCAAGTACAGGTATGCTCTCACTAACCCTCGCTCCTGACCCGGCCTGGCCTCTCTGTACGTCCAGAGCCACGCGTCTGCAGACAGAACGACTGATCGCCATCCGAATTGGCCGTCCGTATAGTAGTTACCTCGCGCAGGGATCGTAAATTCCACCAGTTCTCCCTCTATGAGCTCCGGAGGTTCTACGTCCGATGTGCGGCTAGCCTCATAGACCTCTACCTGCGCTAAGGGCCACATCCAACCGACGTCTAGCGAAGAGATAGTAAAGAGAAATAGGTAGTGATGGTAAGAGATAGAAGAAGTAAACTGCCGACCCTAGAAAAATTTCGGCAACGCTTCGCCTCCCTTCGTTGGGAGCCCCGATAATGCGACTTCATTGGGAGCCCCGAGCCCCGATAATGCG